AGAGGTTTCAAAGGGCTTTCCATGACATTGGAGGAAGCCCTTCGAAAGCTCCAAAGGCAGCGGAGCACCGGGCAGCTAGAGCAGGCCCGGCCCCTGGCCACTAGCCCCCGGCCGCGCGGAACCAGCGGAGGGCCGGGAGGCTAGAGCAGGCCGGGCCCCTGGCCGCGCGGAACCAGCTGTCTTCAAAATGGCTCCCTGCTATATTTTAGGACGGATTCCTCGCATTACCGGTTTTCAATGCATTTCAATGGGCTTTTTCATTTCGCTTGATGAGGATTTCGCTTAACAGCAATTTTAACGGAACGAATTATCCTCATCAAGTGATTATCCTCATCAAGCGAGGCACCACCGTATATGGTATTAAATATTTTGTGGAAATCTCTGGAAACAGTGTTTGTTCAGAGGGTACTGTGGGGCTTTTTTGAACTGCTCTTCTGGGCTTACTGATCTAGAGTATGTCCCAACAATATTTTTTTCAAATTATTTGTGACAGATGTGCTATGGCAAAGTTCTCAGATGCATACAAGTTTGCAAAGAAATATATTAATTGTTCATTTACTTTTTCAGACTATATTTTGCATTCTTCAGTTTTAAGCATTAATGTTTCATCTCACATTGGCTAAAATCCTGTTGTGCTGCTCCACATGCTCAACACTGACTATGCAATCACAAGTATTAAACTGCTACTAATTAACGGCAAAGTCCTGCTGATCAAAATGCATTTTGGTGTGCACATGATTCACATGCAAAGCAAGAAACTCATGTGCTCGAGAAAATCTCCAAAATGATACTTGGTTGTTGCTGTATAAGAATTAAATTCTAGTGCACACCTTCACTAATATTTCAGCATCCCCCCTTTTCTTGCAACATTTGCAACTTTTAGCCCTTTACAATGAGTCCAGGAATCAGTATTTTGTGCCCATATTTTACATCAGATTGCTCAGCTTATTTACTTGGTTGAGCACCTGCTAGCCATTGTTAAAAGCAATACAGTTTTGTCTTCTGCAGATTCTTTAATTCTTTGAAAGGACAGATTGGGGGTCCACTTCAAAATATTACACTGTCTGCTGCAAGGTTCTGTTCAATCCTTCAAGTTTATGTTTTGGCCTCAATTTCTTTGTGGTGACTTCATTAAGTTTAAGTGAATACTCTATCTTAGTCAATACTGGCTAAAAATTTACAACTCTGTCTTCTTCTAAATTTTTTATTTGGATAAGAATTTGAAACATAAGATTTATATTAGACATGTGATATTTGTTTTTGTATCCCCAGGGATACGAATATGAATATCCCATGTCTAATTCGTATCTTCTATTCCATTGTTGTGTCATTTTTTTCTTTTTCCATCTTTAAGTATAACAATGGTTTTAGCTCCAAATAAGGTTTTTAACCTTCTTTCTCAGCTTAGTAACATTGTCAATTCATGTTTGCTGCTGATGAGCCCAATATGTTGATTTAGAACAAGTAGTGCAGTCTTAAAGGCAAGTCAGAGCTAAGCTAACCATGTCAGATTTCTTTTCATAGATGAGGAACGTTTCTGATGACACCATAAATTACAAGAGACATCTCATGTAATTGTTTACCAAAATGGCAGCCTCATTTGGATTCTATTCCTTTTTTCTAACACTATTACGATAAACACTTCCACAACCATGCTCCATATAGGCATTGGTAGTTATGGAGCAGAAGTACAACGTGAGACAGGCATGCTGCTTCTGATGACAGTTTGGCATTTTCCTGTTGCAATGAATTCCAGTGTAGGTTACTTTACTAATTCTCTGGTTTTATTGCATGTATTTAAACTTACATCAAACTTCTGCCGAACTGAAGAAAATTTTTTCTTCCCTTTGGGCTTTCCAGGTTTTGTTGCAGAACCTCCTGTCCAGGGCAGAGACCCAGCACCCTCTGGAAATAGGAAAAAAATGAAACAGCATGTCTCTGATTTGGTAGGTACATAAATATTCATCACACCCTGTCCAATCTAAGTGCATTTCAGCTACCTATGTGCTGCTTCCATTTCACAAGAAGATCCATCCTACTAATCACTCAACCACTACTCACTTCAAGTGGCAACTTACACTAAACCAAATGTTTTCATTTTCATACTCAGTCTGCAATAGTATATTTTGTCTGTATTAAAAATGTATTTTTATTGTTGTTGTTAAACAGAATTGCCACTTAAGCAAAATTAAAATATACAGTCACACATGCAAATCTATGAACCACAACTGATGCCTTTCAAACTGTTCTCTGGAGAAAACATTCCTTTTTTATTATGTGTGGGACATCAAATTGGCTTTTCCTGGCTTAATATATTGAGGAAAGCCGGTAGACAACTTTGAGAACACTCCAACCATCTGGGTTTCTCATCGTAACACCAGCAAATAAATATGGCAAAAATCCTATGGTATGGAAGCAACAGTAAAACTTTCAGTGACCTTTGCTTATAAAGCGAAGTGTGCCAAAGAGCATGACGCTGACATAGAAAGAGGTGTGGATACAATGTGCCCAGAAGACAATAGCCACATAGTTAAGAACTGTCTCTTGTTCAATATGATGACTGTTGATCTTCCATTAATGTTTTACCCTCTTTCTTGAAAAACACATAATTTTGGATTTATCAGAATTGATGGTCAGCAGTTTATTTCTGCAGCTGTGATCTAAAGCCCTCAGAAGGCATCTCAAACCTATACTTGTCAAAGAAACCAACACTGCGCCATCTGCATATATAAGGGGTCTATTTGATCATTACAAGGCACAAGAACACACTTCCTTCAAATTGTAACTAATGAGTTAATATAAAATTAAAAAGCTTACGGGGAACCACGAAGCCTGGTTTTATAGCAACAGATGTTACGATTTGGTCAGTTAAATGCCTCACACTAGTGCATCTCATCTGCAACTTGCTGTCCTTGTATTGTACATTATTGTCTGTTTCTATCTACTGTATTCTTGTGCATACTGTACTTGCATAGCCACCTCTCCCTAACTAGCTGGCTGCCACTTTGTTATTCTTTGCTTGCTTATCTCAGGTATGTAGACTACTCAGAGACATTTTTTTCAGTTGTAATTTATTTTTTATTGTATTTATAGTTGTTAAGATCATGGTTTATTATGTCCTTCCATTACAGTGGGGTCTTGACTTAAGAACGGCTTGAGTTAAGAACATTTTGACTTAAGAACCACTCTCATAGGAAAATATTGACTTGACTTACATACTTAGATTTGAGTTAAGAACTGAAAAAAACCACGTGGTAGGCAGGGAAAGTGCAAAATTGGAACTTTTAGTTAACTGTTGGCCAGTGAAAAGGGTGCCTGTCTGCTTCCTCACTCCTCCCAGCGTCTAGAGAGTGGATTGGGAGACAGTCTTCGGACTGCCTGGTACTGTACGGCCTGGACTGTATTTTCCCTGCCTTCCCTGAACCTTTCTTGATCTAAGAAAAAAAAAGAAACAAAATATCCCCCTCTAGTGGTCGAAGGCAGAATAGCAGCCTCCCATTAGTTTCTATGGACTGAAAAGAGCAGATACGGATCAAATGGTTTTCAATGCATTCCCTGGACTACTCAGAGATATTTTTTTCAGTTGTAATTTATTTTTTTATTGTATTTATAGTTATTAAGATCATGGTTTATTATGTCCTCCCATTATTGCTTTCTAATGCCTTGACAAAATGAAACAAGGCAACACAAAATGCATTAAACTCAGGCTCAAAAAATGAACGAGGAATTGGCAAAGTGAACAAAATGGAACAGTGCTTGACTTGAGAACCGCCTTCCAATACGGATTAAGTTCTCAAGTCAAGACCCCACTGTATTGCTTTCTAATGCCTTGACAAAATAAAACAAGGCAACACAAAATGCATTAAATTCAGGCTCAAAAAATGAACGAGGAATTGGCAAAGTGAACAAAATAGAACAGTGCTTGCAAATGATTACAAATACCCAAATTCTTCCTAACTGCTGTTTCGGTGGGAGAGTTCACAAGATTATAGGCAACCCTCAACAGCTTATGCTATCATAAAACTTTATTATTATAGGGACTTGGCAAAAGCAATTAATTCACACATGGACACAATATTGGAAAGGAAAACGTAAGATTGCCAAGCAAGGTGTTGTCTCTTACATGCCGTAGATGTATTTATGTTCTGTTCAGTCAAATGCATTTTTTGCCTCCATGGTTACAGAGATAAAAGCATCAAGATAACGCTAATGTCACTGAAAAGACCCCATTACATACATATAAACTGCAAGAATTGCATGTAAATTTTATCTTCAAATCTTACATTATAGGCTGTTGTTACAATTTGTATTGTTTTTTTGAGTACCATTATTGTATATGGTATTCTATTTGATACCAAGATGAATCATGTACTGAATAGGGGAACTCTCCTCAACTTTGGGGGGAGTATTAAATGGAATAGTGTAATTAAAACAGAATTCTGTGACCCACAGTCACAAAAATGTTCCTTTTCCCTCTGGAATGTGGTAAACAGTTCTCCAGTTTATGACAGACTACCTTGTGTTCTCCCTGGAAATATTGCTCAGAGCACCATCTTTTATTTTGGATTGTCTCATTACAGGATTTTCAAATTATAAAGCAGTCAAAAATTGTTTACTATTGCCTGCTTCTGCACAATATTACCAGGAGTTTGCTTCAGTGTCACTGCAATCATCTGTGAAAGATCCTCCACTACTGTCACTTCAGATATTTTCCATCTCCATCACCACTTCAACTGTCAATTTTCATCTGCTAATGCAACTGCTAATTCCTACAGAGGAATTAACAAAGGAGCTGCCAAAGATTGGAGAGCTATACAACCACTGCATTCATCCCCTATGCAAGCAAAGTGATGTTTATGATTTTACAAGGAAGACTTCTACCATAATAAAATGCCAGTTGTTCAAGCTGGATTCAGAAGAGAAACAGGGAAAAAAGAGTATATGGTAAACATACATTGGCTACTAAACATCAGGAAAAAAATCTGTTTTATACATTGCAACAAGTATTTGACTATGCAAATAATAAAAAGCTATGCATTGTTTTAAAAGAAATGGATATGCCACAATATGTTATTGTCCTAATGTGTAACCTAAACTTTGGACAAGAGTTTACTGTGAAGACAGATATGGAAAAACAGAATGGCTTTCCATTGGCAACGATGTCAGATGAGGATGTATTCAATTTCCATGCCTAGTCAATGTATAGGCAAGAAAATATGGAAATCTGAATTAGTTTCTGAAAAAGGAGGAGTGAAAACTAGTAGAAGAAACTTCAGTACAGTGGTGCCTCGCATAGTGAGGTTAATCCGTTCCGGATTAACCTTCGCTATAGCGAAAAATCGCTGAACGGGACAGGGAAAGCCATTGGAACGCATTAAACATCGTTTAATGCGTTCCAAAAGGCTCCTTTACTCACCGTTCAGCGAAGTTTCCTATGGCCGGCAGCCATTTTCGCGCCCTCGGTAAGCGAGGGGAGGGCGCGAAAACGCTGCGCGCGGCCATTTTGGGGCTTCCGGTGGCCATTTTGTCCGCTGAACAGCTGATCGTCGGGGCTTTGTTTTGCGAAGATCAGTAAGCAAAACGCTTACCAATCTTCGCAAAGCGAGTTTCGTCCTATCTAAAAGTCGTTGAGCGATCGCATTAGCGATCCCAAAAAAGGGATCGCTATGCGATTTCGTCGTTGTACGGTGCGCTCGTTAAGTGAGGCACCACTGTATTGTCAATTTTAATAGTGAAAATGTAGAAAATAAAATTGTTAAAGATTTTCAATACAGTACTTTGATTCAAACATCAAGCTAAATGGAGACTCAACCCAAGAAACTGGAGGAAGACTGAAACTCAGAAGGGTAAGTAAAAAGGAATTAGAAAAGATCCTTAAGTGTAAGGATGCATCACTACAGAACAAGGCCAAGATGACCCATAATAGGGTACTCCCAGGTGCTATGTACGGATGGACAATAATGAAAGGTGACAAGAAAAAATTGAGTCATCTAAAATTTGAGGTTGGAAGAAAGTTCAGATGCCACGGACTGTCAGAAAGACAAGTGAATGAGTTCTAGATCAAACTAAACTCCAACCAGAAGCTAAAATTATTAAATGAAAGCTATTATAATTTGGACATACCATGGCAAAACAAGAGTAACCGGAAAAAATAATATCAAGTAGAAGACAGAAAGAAAAGAGGATGATTGAACATGAGATGGATTAATACAGCAAAGAAAACCACAGACCTTTATCTATAAGGCCTTGATAAGGATTTCTGGAGGTCATTAATGCATGAAACTGACATGCATCAGAAATGACTTGATGACTTGCAGAACGGAGGAGAGGAATAGTTATTATCAACAAGGGTCATAACAAATAAATCTACACCATGCACAGCTATGTTTGTTACTGAACACTATTTGCTCCACTCCAGTCATGGGTCCAGTTCAGTTCTTGTACATGCGGTGTTCCAGATGAAACCCTTAGATCTGGCATACTGAAGTTGCAGCAGGCTATGGCTAGAAAAAGCTGAGTTCCCAGGAATTCAAAGGAGTTTTAATGAATTTTCAATCTACAGTGTACAGATTAGCAAAAAGGCAGGAATGAGATTCTGAATAATTTTCATGCCCTTAGTTTTCACAGGCTGGGAGGGTCCTTCTCACAGAATATCAAGCAAACAATAAGACACAAAAAGTGAAACTCCATACTTGGTAACCCAAAATGTCTCCAAGAAAATAACAGTATATGCACTGTCCTCATGGAATTGGAAGAAAGGGTTTTTCAGGATTCTTGAATACCTCAAAAATACGTAATACCAGAAAAGGATTGGAGGATACATGGGACTGACACACCAACTAGCAGCTACTCTCCCTGGAAGCTCTGTGCCTCCCTGAAATCCCAGGATAGCTTTCATTTTCACCAATCTCCTTTATCCCACCCAGCCACATCTTCCTCACATTAATTTGGTTGCTTACTTGTGCCACCGATCATCTCTGATGTTCTCCCAAACCCCAAAGAAGGCAGACACAGAAGAGAAGCTGCACCATCTCACTGTGCTTCATTGTTTAGCAACTAGTTATTTCATTTTTATTATGTTTCTTGCTTGTTGTTTAAGTGTTTTTTGGGGGGGGGTTATTTATATTTTGCATTATTGTGACCGTTTGTCACCCAGAGTAGTGGCTCTGCCTCAAGCTGGGCAGGATAAAAATATAAATTAATTAAATAATAAATAAAATAACTGCGAAATTGCCAGATATCCTTTTCTGCACCTATTTACCTCCCTTCCTTGGGTTGTCAATCCCTTATATAAATTTGTGTGGTGTCTGCCTAGGTCATGAATATGAATATGCTATCTACATGGACCAATGAGAGTGCTGGAGAGGTGGAGTCATGAGATATAAGAGTCTCTGCAGGAGGAGGAGGAGTTTAGATTAGGAGATTGGAGACTTTGTGATTTGGGAGGAGAGAGGGTTGGCAGTTGAGAGTGGATGAAGTAGGATGTTCTGTTAAGAGTTAACAACATTGTACTTTCATCGCCTGTAATAATAAACAACTTCTTTTTGGTTCTTTTCTAAATGACACCTTGCCTGGAGCTCTGTGATTAATAATAAACAATGTTGATGTAATCAACTGGTAGCAGCAACACAACATGTAACTTGTACCCTTTGATTGGTGAAACAACCAAGGGACAGGTGGGAAAGTGACAATCTGCTATTGATATTATTTATTGCCAATAATGGTTTTAAAACCCTTAAGAGGCTGAGAGGCATATGAACTTCCAAACTGCAAACAAGTGGGCTCTGGGAAGCACATGGCTGGAATGCTGAAACTTAGCATGCATGTGATGACTCTAAAATGGCCTCAGGATAATTCTTTTTTATCCCAGTACTTTTCTTTAGAATGACTGGTAATATAAGTGCACTAACATTCTTATCACAGGTATGTTACAGTTTTTAAAATTGACTTACCAGGTGCAGAAACCAAGATTTGGCATCGTGTGAGAATGGCCAACAGAAAATCATTATGGGAGTGGACTGCCAAAAGATAAAAGGACATAGTTCACATAAAGGTGATTGCAAAGTTTTACAAGGAAGTACCTGCTTGCAATAGCATCATAAAGCAGTTTCCTGTTTGATCAGACTGTGAGCACTTTACAAGCCCATACAAGGATACACCTAGATACCAGACATATCTCAAGACTATATTGTGAAATGTGCTTATGACTGCTTCAAAGGCGCTGCACCTGTATGAGTACTGGCTAATGAAATATATATATAAATATATATTAAAATACAATAAAAATATTTAAAAATAATTAAAAACTGACTTATTGGTAGGCCATGAAAGATAAAGAACCATGGGTAAATAAAACCACAGCATGAGTGATGGATATCTTTTAATTTAATTGTATTTTTTCTACTTTTCAATCAATTCATTTAATTTTATCTTATACTCTCTAACATAGTATTGATCTAATCTAGTCTACTTAAGTTGATGTAGAGTTTTTAGTTATTTTCAATAACTAAATATAACTGAGACACTGCTTATTGCAGTCCAACTACTGAAATGTATCTGAAAATAAGCAGAACAATTCAAAAGATGGCTTTCTCACCATTTTCTTGTGTGAGGAGCCTCCGGGCTTCCAAGTCAAATTCTTCTTTGCTGATCTTCTGTTTAAACCACAGCTTCAAATTAGCCCAGTATCTGTGCAAGATATCAATAAAGTAAAATGAATATTGGAGTTTGCCTTTCAAAAGACATCCTTTCCTTTTTAAGCTCTTTAGAAAAGACTATACATAGACCAGAACCTTTCTGATGTTTGTTTAAATTTTATGTAACTTGCTATATCTGACAAGGTGTCAGGGCATATCTCAGATGAGCAATCAGGTGTGACCTGGTATGTGACCAAGACATGCCCTGATACCTCATCAATTAGCCATAGCAGGTTATGCAAATCTTATACAAATACCAACAAGACCCCAGCTATTAACTTGCAGAACATGAGAGGAAAACTCAGAAGTTATAATGCTTACATGTACGTATATCTAAAATACTATAACTAGATAACTCAGTAGACTGGGTAGCTTGCTGTGGAACCAGATGTCAGGAGTTCAATTTTCCACTATGTCTCCCAAGAAAAAAGCAAGTTGCGCAGTCCCAGAACACCTCTTCAAAGAAGCGAATGGCAAACTATTTCTGAATACTCTGTATTAGAAAAAACCTGGAAAGGGTTGCCATAAGTCAGAATTGAATTGACAGTACATTATCATTGTTGTTGTTGCCATCATTTCTAAAACAGAAAAAGGATCAGACATCAAATAAGCATATACAACTTGGAAGCTCTCTTGTCATCTGAAATTTATGTGACTATTTTCTGATTTTTTTAAAAAAGCACTCTGTATATGTATAGTCTGAAATGAGTTGAGAGTTCAAAAACAGCAAGTCTGGTGTTCTGATTGTGCCCAAGGGTGGTATTTGTGTTGGATTTCTGAAGTTTAACTTGCGTTTATAAGATAGAATACAGCCTTTTTGTTCATCTGCTAGATGCAGTATGAATTTACAGACTGACACAAAATAAGTGGACTGTCCAGATATCTGCAGAGTGGGAGAAAATAGTTGATACTTGGCTACATGAAACTCTGAAGGAGAGGCTTCTCTTCTGGGAGAAGCTTCTATTTCTTGAGGAGACCAGCAAGCCAAATCCTGCAGATGAGCTCAGAGTGAGGTCCAGGCAGCCCTGCGTAAATAAGCTTCAGTTTGGGACTGTGTTTTCATGGGAAATAATATGTCTGATTCCTGGTCATTTTATATCCTGATCTTTGCTGCTGGCTTCTTCCTGCTTATGACTTTCAACTTTCTGACTATGTTTTGGACTCTCCTCATTTGATTGCATGATTCTTGAACAGGCTGGACTTGGACTGTTTTGGACTTTGATTCTGGATCTCCTGTTTATACCCTGTTAAACTCCAAGCATTAACAGACAGTTTCTAAAACAAATATAATTTCAATATAACTATGATTTCCACTAATATGACTGGATGCAAAAGAAGACAATGCTCCAGTGCTTGTAAGAATTGCACAGGAAAGTGTATTTTCATAGGCAAAGTTTCCTTATAAAGACAAAAAATGTGTTCTTTCCAAAATTCCCTTTATTTTTTAACTGTTAAAGTTACAAGAACCCTGGCTGTTGCACCTGAGTGCTTCAATTCTAACCTGAACAATTCTGAAAACACTTAAAAAGTACTGTATTGAACCATGAAGGTATTGGTGGCTCACCTCTCCATCAACTTTTCTGAAATGAGTCACAGAGTGAAGAGTGTATGCTATAAACATAGCAAAACTAGCAGAACATTTGTGGGATTATTTGTCCTGTGACTTCTCAGAAACAGTAGAAGCTTAGAAACAAAATTTGGCATGGATTCTGCTGAAGTTCCAACTTTTTAAAAAGCTGGCTGGATTACTTCTCATCCAGCCTTGCAGTCTGGAAAATTCTGAAAGTTGCAGCCCTGCATTAAAAATGGTTTGTCTTGTAATGGAATCTCTGAAACAGTAACATCAAAACTCACAAAACTTTGCACATTGTTAATGAGAAGATGTTTTGGTGGTCAGTCATTTACAGGGTTGCCGTAAGTCGGAGGTAACTAGATGGCATTTAGCAACATCTCAGCTGGTGGATTCTGGGAGTCTTCTCACCAAAATAAAATGATCAGGATAAGAAATACAGATGTTTGCATGGATACTATTGATTTCTCAAATGAAATACTGTACTGTAACTGGTTATGTCTTCACTGTTACAGTTTCTATCTTCACTGGTCACTATCTAGGGGATACAGGAAACCAATATCCAAACAAATTACCTTAACGAATTCTGGGACTGTAGCTTACTCACCTTGAAAGCTCTCCAAAATGGCAAGAGGTATAATCATAAATTGAGTAAATATGCTAATGAGATGAATTGGCTGCAGATATTACTGTCAACTGATATACAGGCTAAGGAAATCTTAACAGTTCATGGATAGTAGTGACTTCCACACTTAAATAGCTAGTTAAGTTATATCTTCACTGGCTATGCTGCCTCAGAGATTTCAGGAGTTGTGGTCCAAATAAATCAATGGGCAGATTCTGGGAATTTTAATCCTCTTCTCTCAAAAGGTCTCCAAACAAAAGTATTCCACTTCAGAATACTCCATCCTCTCTATTCTGTAACAGCCACCGTAAACAGCAGCAGACTTTCACTCACTGAAATGAATATGGGGTAAGGCAGGAATTAATTAGTTTTGGGACAAGTTGAATGAGTAGCAGGGGGGAGACAAAAGAGGGAAAAGAGAGAGAGGCTGAGACTGACTAGTGGGAAAGAAACAATTTGGAGATGGGGTCAGAAAGGAGAGGGAGAGACAATAACAATGTAAATGTAAGATGTTCAGGTTTTTAACCTGTGCAAAATCAGGAACATTTGCTAGTCGGAGAATATTTTTCAGGGATGGGGACTCGCTTCATGGGACTCGTTGTCAAGTTGGACTTTAAGTCACACTGAGGACTCAACTCAGACTCAATTTGGGTTGGTTTTTTCAATGACTTGGACTCAACTCACGACGGCACCCCCACCCACTCCCTATTTTCTGAGGAAGAAAGCTTGTTTTTAATAGGGACTCGGACTTAGGCGTAGGATTCGAGACTTGGGACTCAGATCCAAGACCTGTCAACATCCCTGATATTTTCCCAGTGCATTGTTTTGCAATTCATAATGTGAAAGTTTAAGCAACAGCTTAATTAGTAGCTAAATAGGTAGATAACCAACATAGGGATCTTGAATTCTCCAAAACTGAGATCAAAAATAAACCTGTGCTGACACATCACCCTTGAAAGATGCATGCTCTTAAGCTGGAGAGAAAGGTCTGTTGCAGAAAAAAACACAGTGGGAGGCAAGAACTCTAATCACATTTTAAGAATCACATAGAAACAGCTCATTAACAACATGGACAATGGCATCCATTTGTAGAAACTGGATCTCCTTCAAATACTGTTGCCATCTGGGTCACCAAAAGTGCTGCATACAATAGGCAAAATTGCATTTAACTGAATGTGAATTTTGAACTGCCAACCAAATATTTCCTCTGTTCAGCCAAAATCCTTGTGATCACTGAAAAGAAATTCTTCTAGAGATACTTATTAATCTTATCCAGTAGTACTATAAACAAAGTAAAATTGAATGAATACTTTGTTGCCCAGAGATATTTACAGAGTCAATTGATATGATTCTGATTACTGACAAGAAAATGATGGCCCAAAGAAGGGACCTTGGGATTAATATAAAGAGTTACAAGGGCACAGAAGCATTGAGGGTATGATAGCAACAAGCAAGGGAGAAGTGATTATGACAAATCAATTAAACCAGGTAAGTACTTCTCTGAATTAAACCCATTTCTCTGTCAAAAAATGGGATATCACCCTACCATGAAGCCTCCTGAGAAATGCAATTCCCTGGGTTTGGGAAGTTGTTCATGACCATGGCCGGAGAACTGCATTTCTCAGAGCTGCAACTCAGAAAATTCTTGCATGGAGAATTCTGGAGAATGCAGTACAGCAACATGAAAGCGCACACCCCTAATGTCTTGTTCTAGTCCATGTAAACCAAGTAATACAATGTTCAAATATCCCACTTCTTGCTTAACAGCTTTGAGTTTACCATACTTTTCTGCTGACTTCAATTGTCAAAGAGTATCTTCCCAGAGACTTTAAATTCAGAAAATATATGACAACTCTTGACAAAAACTACCATAGACATCACATAGATGTGACTAGCTGCTGGTCAGTTTCTGCCCTGTCCATTTTCAGTAAGATCATTGAAATGGTAATGATAAAACAATGCCAGAAATATCTAGACACACCCAATCAATTTCAGCCTGACTTCTGACCTGGCTATAGGACAAAGGTGAAGCATCCTTGCTGACATTACTTGATCTTTTATCAATCGCACTACAGTGGACTGTGGTATACTATCAAGGAGACTGGAGTAAAACCTGGATATAGCAGGACAAGTTATCCAGTGGTTTTCATATTTCCTCTGCAAAATGATCTAAAGGGTAATGATGGAAGACTGTTTTACAGCCGCCTCTCCATCACTTTGCAGAGTTCTTTGTGACTCAGTTTTAGCACCAATGCTTTTCAACATATATGCAGCACCACTGGTGGTGATCATCTGTAGCTTGGAGTTGGGTGCCATCAATGATCCCCCCAATTATCTCACTAGCCAAGCAGATAAAGGTAAAGGTTCCCCTTGACAATTTTTGTCCTGTCGTGTTCAACTCTAGGGGGTGGTCCTCACCCCCATTTCCAAGCCATAGAGCCAGTGTTTCTCCGAAGACAATCTTCTGTGGTCACATGGCCAGTGCGACTTAGACACGGAACGCTGTTACCTTCCCACCGAGGTGGTACCTATTTATCTACTCGCATTTGCATGCTTTGCAACCGCTAGGTTGGCGGGAGCTGGGACAAGTGATGGGTGCTCACTCCGTCACGTGGATTCGATCTTACAGCTGAAGATTTACAGACCTTACAGCACAGAGGCTTCTGCAGTTTAACCTGCAGCACCACCATGTCCCTCGATGTCTACCAGCCAAACAGGTAGAGGCATAAAATAAAATAAGAAATGTCCTGGAAATTGTGGTCAAGTGACCAAGGGTCAATAAATTGAAGCTGAAGCTAAACAAGACATAGGTGATACTAGTCAGATGACAATAGACAAATCCACCTGTTACCTCTGTAACAGTTGATGATTCCCCATGTGAGCCAGACAAGGAGGCTAGGTCTATTAAGTCTCAATGCTAGTCATTAAGAAACAAGTGGAACTATGGGCATGTCAGCATTTTATCATCTGCCCCTGGTTTGGAAACTTTCTCTCCTGGAAAAGGGCAGATATGGCTATGCTAATCCATGCTTCTATAAGCTAAAGATCAAACTGTTGTAATTTCCTCTATTTATTTATTTAAAATATTTTTACGCTTATTTTCTCCTTGAAAATGACAATTGAGCTTACAACGTGGAAAGACAATATTTAAAGTTGAAAACAATGAGTATACAATGGTGGTTAACATCATTAAAAGACAATGCAGTATTTAAAACTAACAATGAGTATAAAGAGGTATGACCCTTACAGATAATTCAAAAATTCAACTGGAACAGTACGCTGCAGCTAGGGTACTATCGCCCCCTGCTTGTGATCATAGGATACTTATTTGGCACTAATTTCACTGGCTGGAAGTTGTTCCAATATTCAATTCAAGATTATAGTTATTGCATTCAGATCTCTACTTGACTTGGGATCCATATTAGCCCCCATGGCAATTGGCATTGTCTGTGGCATTTCATCTAAAGGCATCAAATGATAAAGTTGTACAACTCAAATGCATTAGGAAAATATATTTTCATGTTGTTGCTCCAATGCTCCAAAACTCCCTTCCTCTGTCCCTACAAAATATGGTTACCTTGCAGGAATTCTTTCTGGCTGTAAAGTGAAAATATTTTGGCAGCCTTTGGTATGTTAAATTTTTTAACTTAATATCTGCTTTCACCACCTACATAAAATATTTTTGTAGTTTTAGATTGTTATGTTTGTTATATGTTTAACATTTTGTTTGATTATCATGTACAAAAGAAGGTCATAAAAGAAAATAAAAAGTAAATACAGATTAGTGATGTAACAAATTCAGCTGTGGCACCATATCAATCTTCTGCAAGAAACCAGAGACTGGTAAGAAGTCTTGTATCCGCCTATACTCAGAAATACTGTACACCTTGAGATCACTGGGCCTTTTCCACAAGTACCTGCATACAGGATTACAGCCCAGAATATGCATTATAGCAAATGCTTCACTGGCCTTAGTCTACGAAAGCTTATGTGGCAATCTAATCATGTTAGATTGCCACATTAGTCTGAGAAGAAGACAAACAGACAGACAGAGAGACAAACACTGATTCACAGACTGACTGACTTATTTACTTACAGACTGACTGACTTATTTACTTACTTATTGGATTTCTATCCCGCCCATCTAGACCAAAGGTCTACTCTGGGCGGTTTGATATACTGCGACTTATAAACAGGCAAATACACAACTGCATTTACTGTTTATGACATGACAAATTTGCTTTTGCTATTCTGAACATTTCTAAAGCTCTTCAAACACTTCCGGTGCGTCCTATGAAACCTACTAGTCAGGGGACACCTACAAATTCTATATATTGTGATGCAACCCATTGAAATTCAGGCACTACATTCCACCGTGTAAGGGTCCATTTGTTGTGCCTGCTGTCTAATAAGGAGAAAGTACCTTAGATCTGAGATACTGTAAGCAAAAGACATTTTTGGAAGTAAAATAAGGGGAAGTAAAATAAGACAGTTCTGAGAAAAATACTGAAAAAACATATGAGAGAAACAAATGAAATTCTAACATAAAAGAACACACATTACAGAAGAGGGGACGAGATCACTCTTCACCGCCAAATCCTATGCACATGTACAAAGAGAAGAGGGCACGTAGGCTCTCTAACCTCACCCACGAGGCGAGCACCCGGTGCAAGTAAAAAATCGAGGCCGGTGCTTGGTAGGGTCAACTAGGCCTCTCCCCGCAGATTCCAGGAAGCGGCTTAAAGGAAGGGGAAATTAAAATCAGAGGAGGTCAAGAGAAGAAGCCCACTTTATCACTCACTGTTTCACGTTCTCGCCCAAAGCCTCGCTCAGGTTCTTCTTGGCCACCTCCAGTTCGCTCACATAATTCGCCATGGCCAGTTCGGCTCCTGGCAGAAACCGCCCGCCCGCCCGCTGAAATTTGAGCGTCAGAGCTGCAGCGCCAACCTCAATAGCAATCCCCACCGGCAACGTTTTATTGTTCGGTTTTGCAGCTCCTGGCCGTAGAGAAACATAGAGGGAGGGAAGGTCGTGCTGTTTTGGGCCCGCCTCCTTCGCGCGTCTCCTTCTCACTCCCTTCTTCTTAGAGGGGGCGGCAATGAAGTAGGTAAGGTGGGCAAGGGCGCCCGCCCATCGGACACAACCCCGGAAAAGGCCGGTTGTCATGACTCAGGTTCCCGATAACCTCACCTCGAGGACTGAGAATCTTCACAAAAAACCGAAAAAGTGTTTTGACCGTCATAGTAGTGATGAAATAAAAACTGGACTCAATCCCTGCGTTGATAAAAGTTGCCCTTGCTCTGAAATACGGCATGACTGGGGCCAATTCTTATGGCCACGGACTGCCGCGTAGTTGAGAAACGGACGAAGGCTTCTTTCTGCCAGATAGAACTTCGTGGTCTTTAAGGTGCCACAAGGCTACTCGTTGTTTTAACCATTAATCCGCCCTCTGTGTCCTTCTACTCGTACTTTACAGAAGGTTTTAAGTTGAATTACTTGGGAAGACTGCCGTTATTTTATTACGTTATTTCCTGGCGTCACAGCTTTTCTGTGTTCTTAAAACGCCTCCATCTTCGAGAGAAGGCATAGAATGATGGCGAAACGGTTGCTCTCCAGATGTTTTCCCCTGACTAGAGCACTCGACACTCCTTTTCCTTGCTACTGTACTGGCCGTGCGGGGCTGAGTGTTGTTGTTGTTGGTGTTGTTGTTGGGCCTGATGGGAGTTGCAGAGCCAGTTGCAGGTCCTCCGCTTCTCCTCGAAGGGTCCGGGCGAGGGAAACTTGCGGCGGCAGGTGGAGAGAGAGAAAGGGGCTGAAATCTACGGACAGCTTTCCAGCCAGGTTTCCAGTTAAGGTGCCGCTTGTGTACATACATACGTACTCAAGCAGCTTTCTCTCGGCCCGATTCTAAACCTGTTTAGCCTGTTAAATCTTACTGAGTCCTCTCAGCTTAAACGTCCGCGGAGTTTTGCAGCCGTCCTTCATAGCAAGTACTGTAAGCAGCGCTGGGTAATGGGGTGGGGGGGAGAGAAACACTGGAGGGGCTGATTTCCGCGAGGCGGAAAAAACTGGCTGTCCACTCTCATCCAGAGGAACGGGCCGTTAGCACTACAGCCCGGGAGAAATCCCACGCAGGACCACTCCTGAAAAAGTGGGTGGCCGCCCACGGAAGCTGACGCTAAATAAAACTCGGTTCACCCGAATCCACCGCCTGAGAGAACCCGAGGATTCCAATTCCCCCCCCAAGCCCCGCCCCCTCCCTCCCGGGGGCCTTAAAAGCGGCCGCCTGCGCAACAGCGAGAGCCGCCAGTTCGCCCAGGCTGCTTTCATCGGCGGAGGCTGCTTTCGCGATGCCAGGCCTGCTGCTCGGGGATGAGGCGCCCAACTTCCAGGCGGACACCACGCACGGCCCGATCCGCTTCCATGAGTTCCTGGGAAACTCGTGAGTACCGGTGTGTGCGTGCGCGTGTGGCTGCCCGAGGGGCGAATCCGGCTCGGCTGCCCCACTCGGTCTCCGGAGTCCGCGGCTGTGACCAGCTCAGAGAGCGGCCGGGAGGGAGGGCAGCGCCGCGCCGCGCCTCCTTTGCCTCACGTGGAGGGCCCGAAGAGATCCCTCGCCGCCGGCTCGTTGTGCAGGAGGGCGGCCGAGGGGCTGAAGAGCCTCCGGGTTGGGGCCCTTCACTCCAGCAAAGCCATGGTCGGGCCCCGGTGAGGTGAGGGGGGTTTGCTCTCTTCCTGTCCCGGGCGACCAGCCACCCTGAAGGGAAAGCTGACGGGCGGGCCAAGCCTCCGAAGCTCCTTCAGGCTGCCTCCTCGGCCCTCATCACCGGGGTCTGCGGGCAAGCAAGGAGAAGACGGGTCCCGTCCCCGCCCTCCTGCCGGAGCGGCTGTGGCGGGCCGAGCCGAGGAGGAGGAGGAAGCGTCGGGAGCCCGTTTCAGTCGCGGCCCCTTCTTGCTCTCCAGGCCCAAGCCTTGTGGGAAGGGTTGCGATGTCGTTTTGCTGTGTTTTGAGTACAATGCATTTGGTGAAGGGCCTCGGGATACCCCCCCAAAAGGTGGGCTCTAAGTAATTGTAATACAGAGCTAGTTAAGTTACAAAACAGTAAAAGAAACGGATAGGGAATAGTTCTGCTGCCTTCTTAATACTGTAAGTTGGAGTCATCCGCAGATTTTGATGAGCAGAAGATTCGAGACGGGAAGGGAAGTCTATATTGCATAATTATACTGAATGCATAATTCATCCCTGCAGTTTATTATCACAACATGTGATGGCGATCCCATGCTTATACTGTATGTCCTTAGCTGATTAGACAGTCATGGGGTTGAGGAGTTATTTATTAGTTTTGTTTCTATGCCGCATTTCTCCCAACAAGGGACCCAAAGTGGCTATGAGTTAGAGTGTAAGCTGAGATAAAAAAGGAACTTCCAAAGCTTGAGGGACTGTGCCCCATGAACAGTAGACAGTGGAAACACACAGTGGAGGAGGGCTGTTTCCTTCAAGCCTTCCTTTTGGAATTCTCAAAATATTTTGTCTGACCCCAACAAGGAACAGAATGCTGGACTACAGGGATTATTGATCTGATTGATCAGTACCTTTCTTATGCTGTGCTGTGAAAGGTTGCAAAATTATCCTTTTCGGATGGGCTTTTTTACACTTTTATGACAAAGCCTTGCAGACAAGACTGTTACTGATAGAATATCTAGATAATTACTAACATTTTAAGATATGGTGATACAGTATAATAACCCCTTGTTGTTTTGCAATTTTAAAAAACAGTCTTTTGTGAATTCTGGCTACATTTAACATATCTACTTTCTTCTCCCATTGCAAATGAGTGCCATTTTGACCCTGATTGCTCATAACCAATGGTTAGGTTGTCATTACAATGTACAGTATTTTAAGACAGATAACAGTCGGTAGAGTAAGGGTAGATGGCTGTTGCCTGACACAGTTCATGGAGACTCTGTTTTTCGTGTTTAACTAAGGAATTGCATTAGGCAGGCCTACACCAATTTTGCTAGATGGCAAATGACACTCAGCTAGAAGAGTAACAACTGGAGAAGATCTTTTAACAAGCATTGTAAACTGCTTTGGGGATCAGCTGTTATGTGCACTATTGCAATTCTAAAGCACTTGCCATCACTGGAGTAGAGACATAATGCTTCAACATCATTACACACATGTTGAAACATTCCAAACTTTTCCTAATGTGTCTCAAGACAAGGGAGAATTAATTGATGTATCTTAGTGTTATGTTCCCTGTATGACAACATACTTTCTGCAGCACTTGTGGTGTGGCATCAGGGGCCAGCAGATGCAGCCTCCTACTTTGTTTATTTATTTAATTTTATTTAAAATATTTTTACCCACCCAAGGTGGTTGTTCCCATTGCAACAACACAGCCAGAGGTCAGTACTTAAATGTACTTGTTCAGTGACCATTTATACACTCACTGATAAGTAATCATTTGATATTATTCATGAATTGATAAATGGATGAGCAGTTATGCAGATAAATAATTCAAGACCTTGGACTTTACTGAGATTTCTTTTCCTTGGTATGAGTTTTTAATTATTTTCTTGCATGGGGAAGCAGAAATTGTTCAAATTATAAGATAATAATGTATCTCATACTGTATTACCATTGTTATTTTACTATTGCTGGCCCCTCTTTTGTGAAAGAAAGAGTGGGGCAGAATATGAAAACAATGCTAATGCTGTGTACTTGCTAACTATTCCATTTTCTTAATGGAACATATTACTGGGTTTCATGTAGCTTTAATGCATACTATGACTGAAATCTTAGGCAAATAAGTTCTGGGACTCCTTTAAAACATCTCCTGAAACAACTTTTTTCCCTATGTTTATCTGCATGATAAGTACGCCTTTATATCACATGAGACTTGTGCAGCATATTGTCTGAACACTAGATGCATCCAAGAGAAAATTGGACAACCATCTGTCAGACTTGCTTTGATTTGGATTCCTCTATTGAGGTGGAGGATGGAATTGATGGCCTTATAGGCCCTTTCCAACTTAATGATTCTATGATTCTATGATTAAAGATTTCAAACCTCTTGAAAGACCAGGGTGTACATTTCATGGAAATAAGTGGCTGATCTATCCTGAAAAAACTTCCAGTACAGTAAGGTTCACACTCATAGCAGCTTTTGGATGAACTATATTAAACCTGCATGCCAGGTTGTGACAGTATAGAAACTGATTGTACAGTTCAGCTTGCTGCTAAGTAATTGCCGTATTTTTCGCTCCATAAGACGCACCTCTCCATAAGACGCACGAAATTTTTAGGAGAAGAAAGCAGGAAAAAAAATCTGTTTTCTTCTCCTAAAAATTGGTGAGCCTTATGGAGAGGTCCGTCTTATGGAACGCAACTTAGGACCCTTTAGAGATTTTGAGGCTTGGAAAGTTTCAGAATAGCCCCAGAAGGTGGCAATTTCGCCCCCTCTAGCCTGGTGGGGGGGGGCAGGGTGAGCCTCCAAGGGTCCTAGAGTGTGTTCCAGGACCCTTTACAGACTCACCCTGCCACCCCCCAGGGTCAGAGGGGCCAAAATTGCCACCTTCTGGGGCTCTTTTGAGGCTTGGAAACCTTCAAAAGAGCCCCAGAAGGTGGCGATTTTGGCACCCCTGGACCCGTGGGGGGGAAGCATGGCAAGGGTCCAAGGGAGCCTTCCAGACCCTTGCCACACTCCCCCCACCCACCCCCCACGGGGCCAGCACGGGCAAAATAGCGACCTTCCAGGACCTTTTGAGAAGCTTTCAAGCCTCTCAAAAGGTCCTGGAAGGACGCTATTTCGCCCGCGCTGGCCCCGTGGGGGGGCGGGGGAGCATCTCAAGGGTGCTGGAAGGCTCCCTCGGACCCTTGCGACGCTCCCCCCCCCACAGGGCCAGTGGGGACGAAGTCACCACCTTCACTCCATAAGACGCACAGACTTTCTACCCCCCTTTTTGAGGGGGGAAAAGTGCGTCTTATGGAGCAAAAAATACGGTATGTGCTACCAAACAGGAGCTGACATCTTATTGAAAGGACTTGGGAAATTACCATAGTGAAATGTTTTTCTTTTTTCTTTATATGTGGAACCTCCAAAAGACCTAAAAATACAGGAAGGTCAGTTTGAGGAATACAGGCAGTACAGTATTAGTGAAGCAGCAGCTCAAAAGATTCTTAATGGTTGGATACTGGAAACTCTGCATATGAAACTACTTTAACTTAAAGGATTTGCTTAACAGGATGGAAACTAAGGCAAAAGAAGCTAAAAGAGAACAGAAAGTTAAGGAGAGCATTTACCCAGCATTGCCCTAGCAGCAATGGTGAACAATCGGTGAACATTTAGAAGTTGCTGAACTCTGTCAGCCCTAGCCAGCGTGGCCAATAGTCAGGGATGATTGGAGTTGCAGTCCACCAACAGTTGGTGGGCCGTAGGTTGTTTGTCTTAATCTAAAAATCCTCCTTAATAGCTCAGTCTGCTTTAGACAGTTTGAATATGTTGTGTATTGCTAGATTTCAGCACTATCTGCTCATCAAGACACTGCCATATGGTTATTTTTCTTTCAGATGGGGCATACTGTTTTCTCATCCACGAGATTTCACACCAGTATGCACAACAGAGCTTGGCCGGGCAGCAAAGTTGGCACCAGAGTTTGCCAAGCGTAACATTAAAATGATAGCCCTTTCCATTGATGATGTCAAAGATCATCTTTCTTGGAGCAAGGTACTGTGATGGGATACAGTGGCACCACTGTACTGTAGTTGTAAAAGATTTGCATGAAACTAAATTGTGTCGCAATTCCAGAGGCCCCTTAATGTTGTTGTGACTTAGTCACCTATATGCATGTACAGTCAAGAGTTTGGGAAAAGGGGGTCATGGTTTCTGTTGCCCTTTTGAAAAACAAGTCTTGTAGTTTTTGCCTAGGATATGCTGACCAATTAACCCACTGTTAATTGGAAGGCAGTAACCACCTGCCCCATATCTCAGAGTGAAAACCTAAAGGAATGCACTCCTTGGTACTGGATTAGTTAGTAGAGTAGCTTCAGCTGAATGAAGCAACGGGGAAGAAATTACTCTTCACAAAGGTTCAGGGCAATTCAATGCCAGCAGATCTCCTGGAAGGGTCTGGAAACTGGAATTTTGGGTACAAAAATGGAAGGCAAGTTACTTAGTTAAGCTCAGGGGTGTCCAACCTTTCACCTTCCCTGGGCCACATTAGAAGATGAAAATTTGGTTTGGGCCGCACATAAATTAGGTTTGAGCCGCATGGGGGGGCAGCCATAGCCATCCTCTGCAGCCCCGCTCCAAGCGCGCTTACCGGCAGCTGCGATCTCAGACAGCAGAGGCTGCCAGCTTCGACTCCGGTGGCTTTATGGGGCCAGGAGGGGGTCCACCTATTGACGGGGATGGCGCAATGCAGTCATGCAGCCCCCCTCTCCCCTCCCACTCCTTCCTTCCCTCTCCCCCCCTGTTGTGATGTGCCCCAGCCGCATAGCTGGATTTACTCTTTTTATTATATTCTAGATTTAGTTTAACTTGTATTGATACATATCTTTTGCCTTACTTAATTACTTTGAATTTTAAAGTTAGAAGTAACAGATTTCTACCTATAAAAGAATTGAACTGATTTCAGTGTGAGGAATTTCTCCTTTTTGTTAAAAAGATCTGCTCAATCTGTGAAGGATAAAATAATTAAAAGCTAGGCACAGCGTACTTGTTTAAATGCTGTGCAATGTAACTGGTAGTACCATCTTTTCAATTCAGCCAGTTGTCTTGAGAATGCAGAGGAAGGGCAGCATTTCTAGAATGCTAATAATTACTTGGGTCACATGACAGAGGGAGAGTGTGGTCTGTTTTAGAAGCCGTTTAAGACTCTAGCTTGCACAGTTCCAGTTTGTTTAGCTGCCCCTGCTTACATACATTCTCAAGCAGGGCCTATCAGTTCTTACTCTTACTACAGCAAATGTTTCTGGATTAGTGATGGTGGGGTTGGGTGAGGGAAGAGACTCTCGTCAGAGATAATTTTCTTAAAAGACTGCTTGTGGGTTTTCAGTCTAGATTGTGAAATGCATAAAAAGCAAATGCAAAAATAAGACATGCAAATAAATATGTTTGTTTTGTGTCTGTAATGATTATTTTGCTTGAACCTTGGACAGTAATAACTCTGATTGCATAATGAATCCCTTTAGTCATTTTCACTGTTCCACTTAAAGCAGCAGTCCCCAATCTTTTTGGGGCCACGGACCGGCCAGGGGTAACGAGCTCCATGCATGGGGGGCACCCCGCGTGAGCGCAGTGGATGTGTCATGCTTTGCAGGGGCGTGTCATGCTCATACATGAGTGCGACACACCCACTGTGCGGGCGGGGGGCGCAGATCTGAATCTGTGGCCTAGTTCTGGTAAGACCACGGACCGGCACTGGGCCATGGCCCGGGGGTTGACAACCCCTGATTTAAAGTGTTCTCTCAAACAGAAAAGAGCAGACAGCTGTATTCAGCCATTTTGAAAAAACGTCAGAGGAACAGTACAGTGGGGTCTCTACTTAAGAACGTCTCTACTTAAGAACAATCCAACTTAAGAACAGCTCCATTTGCTAAATTTTGCTTCTACTTGAGAACAGAAATCCAAGATAAGAGCAGGAAAAAAAAAACCTTTCCTGCTCTTTTTTTAACCTTAGGTCATCTTAGGTTAAAAAAAATTCTCCCCCTAGTGGTAGAGTACGTATTAACCAGCTTTGCATTAGTTCCTATGGGAACTAATGCTTCAATGTACGAACGCACCTCTACATAACAAAAAAACAGCCAGAACGGATTAATTGGTTTTCAGTCCATTCCTGTGGGAAATTTTGCTTCAACTTAAGAACGTTTCAACTTAAGAATACCATTCCAAAACTGATTAAGTTCTTAAGTAGAGGTTCCACTGTAGTTTCTATGGACGGAAAAGAGCAGATACGGATTAAATGGTTTTCAATGCATTCCTATGGGAAATGCAGATTCAACATAAGAACTTTTCAACTTGAGAACCACCTTCCAATACGGATTAAGTTCTTAAGTAGAGATCCCACTGTAGGTTGAATATTTTGATTAGACTCATGTAAAAGTCAAAGTAGTGTGCAAATCTGAATGGGAAAATGTACTAATTTGTGGCTTTAGCTGATCCTTGTACAGATATTTGTACACTGAAACACGAGGTGGTTTGCAAGCTTTGGTATCCAATTTCGGAGCCAAAATAATCTTTCATCGCTGGCTCTCTAGGAAAGGAGGAAATGCAGGTCCGCAGAAACTGTTTTTCTCTGGCCTGTGACAGGTGAGAGGGTCTTTCCTCTCCAAAGCTGGGGCAGAGTTCCCTCTGGAAGGGCAGAGAAAGGGAGAAACCAAGCTTCCTGCAGCTGCTCGTTCCAAAGACGGGTGCCAAAGCTGATCTTCCCGCTGGCTGTGGTGTTCTGGGCTGTGTGTGCGCATGCAGTTGTGTGCAATCTCCCAAGGGCCCGTGCTTCTGGTGGCAGAGTTCAGTGGCACTCCTCCCCCCCCTTATGATCTCATCTGCCAGTCTTCTTTTCAAGCTGCTTGCAGCTAGTTTAATCCCCCTCCTGCCCCCAATCTTTCCCAGGTATTTGAAACTCTTCATTTTCTTCCTCTGCTTTCTTCTGAGAACCCTTGTCTGCTTGAATACTGACTATTAAAAGCAGTTTAAACTTCCAGTACTGCTGCCTGCTGGTTTTTTGTGTTTTTTCCTAGTCTGGGCACGTGAGCCCAAAAAGGTTTGCAATCACTGTCCTAAGTACTAGAACAGGCTATAAATATAAAACAGAAATAAAATGTCAGCTCTGAAAAAATAGACTGGATTATAGTTTACTGTTTTAAGAAGAAATATGATATGTAGGTAAATAGTAACATTTATGTTGAGTCTTCATACATAGCAAGAGACATCAGTTTTAACTATTTTGTAGAAATGTGATACCCCTTTATCGTTTTTTTGCAAACAGACAACATTTTGACAACTACCCACCTGAACATGCCAAATTTTGTAAAAATGTATTTTAAATATCATACTTAATGTTCTTTCACGTAGATCTTTCTTGTAGAATCCAAATATATTAGCCATTCCTGCTTATATTCATAATTTCTTGTTGTTCGTCAAGTTTTTTTTTCAGGATTAATTTTAAACATTAATTTATAATGCCATCTATATTAAGTTAAACAATTTTATACTGTTTTTCAGTGGGGATGGGTGCGTAGAAATATAGTTTAGAACAAATTTGTCTAAAATCTAGGTCCACGTAGAATATTCAAATAAAGTCTCAAACAGAAATGAAGTCATCAGTTCATGTTATGCTGACTTGGCTTGTTATCTTGACTGTAGCTACATATCACTTGTAGATTTCTGGTTTAAAAAAATAATCAAAAGAATAATTTTTATTTCACTGATTCATGAAGTATACTATACATTTCAAATATGCATTAGCTCATTTTTACTCAACAAGCCATAAGGCAAGGTTTTACAGTGGTGCCTTGCATTACGATGTTAATTTGTTCCAGCGAAATCACTGTAGAATGAAAACACTGTAATGCGAAAATAAAAAGCCCATTGAAATGCATTGAAACCCCTTCAGTGCGTTCCAGTGGACTGGAAACTCACCGTCCAGCAAAGATCCTCCATAGGGGGGCCATTTTCAGTGGCTGTCTTGCGAGGAATCTGTCCCAGAAAGCAGCAGGGAGCCATTTTATTTACCCGGTGGCCATTTTGAAACCGCCGATCAGCTGTAGAAAAATCATCGTTTTGGGAAGAATCAGTTCCCGAAGCAGGGAACTGATCATCGCAAAGCGAAACAAGCCCGTTTAGATCATTTTGCGATCGCAACAACGTCATAATGCGGGGCAATCGTAATGCGGGGCAATCGTAATGTGAGGCACCACTGCATTTAGGGCATTATAGTGGGCTCCTCAGGTAGCTTACATTTTAAATATATACATAAGGACAAACTATGGAAAAAAGTTGGAATAGTGAATGGTCCTGAAGAATTGTTACTCTTCTAAACATATTAAGTAGCATCATTTTACCCACAGTGCTTTCTGCTCCCAAATCCCTTTTTTTTCACTGAAACAATATTGCTGCATTTTCTACACATTCCACTCTCTTTCTGGCATACTTCTACATGATTCCTTATTGTATTTGCATTCATTAGGTACCTAAACTCATCTTGTGGATCTTCATATAATCAGCCCAATCTGTGGTTCATCTGCACAGGGATATATTAAATATAACATTTTTGAGAGATATATCCCCCAGATAAAATTTCCCACATGTTCTTTTAAAGATTTCTGTAGTGCTAATCCCACTGTACCCAATGTTTTGGCTGAAATGTTCTCTGTGACCAGATTTTAACCTACGAAATGTTCTTGCCATACTGTTTAACTGAGTGAGAATGTTAGTCATGGCTACCTGTTAAGTGTGAAAGTAAATTTCACTTACCAGAAGGATTTCCAATTTTTTTGTTGACAACGGAGTCTTGTCCACCTGTATTGACCATAGAGTATTTTAGTCTGGTATCTGACAGATGGATACCATGTGTTTTCTTTGAGTAATACATATTTGAGAAGGCCCTGAGGTGAGCATGCATAGCTGTATGCCGCATCTACTAATGAAGTCAGTGAAATTTATTTGCAGTATATGTAAGGTTTAATTCTAACTGAGGTTCTAAGCCTGTTTCTTGGATCTGTGAGGTTGAACTGACTTCTTTATTGATATAACTTAAACAAAGTGGTGTAAAGTGCCAACTGCAGAAGCTGAATGGAATGCTCCTCAAATATGGAGGAGATTGATCAGACAAGCCTTGTTCCATAGAGCTCGCCCTTTTACATAAGATACTGTCATTCCCAGATCGCTTTCCCAAACCATTTTGGGACCTAATTTACAATCATAGTGGGATTCAATCATTATTAAATATAATTTTGAAGCCAGTCCCCACTGGATATTTTCTGAGACTAGCAGTAATGTTTCAAATTGATCTTGATCTTACTTAATCTTTACTTTTCTATTTTTACTTTTCCGTCTTTACTTTTTCATTTTGATCTTTACTTTTCCATCTTGAATGATATTATGGATGTTTTAAATTGCTGCTTTTAATTGCTTTTCTGTTATTTCTATTGTAAGTCGCCCAGAGTAGACGTGGTCTAAATGGGTGGGGTATAAATTTAATAAGTAAGTAAGTAAGTAAGTAAGTAA